GTTTCGTTAGGTTACGGATCTGCTGGTGGATGAATCCAGTTTTACAGGCGAGGCTGAGCCTTGCAACAAGACGGACTGCGTGGTGCCCGAGGCTGGAGACGACATCACGCTGAGCAACGTGGTCTTCATGGGAACGCTGGTGCGCTACGGGAAGGGAAAAGTGAGTCCTGCCCCTCCATCTATCCCTTGATGGTAGTTACAGAATCTCCTGCATAAGATTGATGTTATGAAATTTTTTAAAATCTCTTTTTTTCTTCTCATCCCCGCCTTTTTTCCTTTTTTAGGGGGTAGTTATTGGGACAGGCGAAAGCTCACAGTTTGGCGAGGTGTTTAAGATGATGCAAGCTGAAGAGGTAAAGACGTCTCCGGGCCGCTCTTGCAGGGACCTAAACTCTGGGTGCTCGGTCTGCAGCTGCCTCACAGACGCCTGCCCCTCTCGGTTGCTTTGTTGCTGCAATTTCCTCTAGATATCTCTAATTTCACTTCCACACCTGCCAGGCCTTTGCTGGCCGACAGATAAGGAGCTAGTTAACGCCCTGCTTTGCTGCATTGCTTGAGCCCTTAGCACAAGGCAGCAAGGCAGGGAGATGGAGCCTCCTCTTGCTCCGCAGGATGCTCCGTGTTCGCTGCAGCCTGGACCATGTTTGGGCTTCAACACCGGGCAATGATGAGAGCAATACGGGGCTTGTAGTCACTGCATGCAAGCTGAATTCCTCTTGATTTATTAATAAGCAAAGAAAAATAACCATTCTCTGCTTTCAGACCCCCAAAACTCCTCTCCAGAAAAGCATGGACAGGCTGGGCAAGCAGCTCACCCTTTTCTCCTTCTGCATCATCGGTGAGTCGAAGGAAACGCTCCTGTTTGCGTGGTCAGCCCCTAAAACCTACCGTGCTCCAGGGCTCCTTTTCCAAATGTCCCTGGTGATGGGGCTGACGTGAGCTTAGCAGAGTCCAAGCAGGAAGGTTTGGGAAGAGGAGGTCTGGGGGCCTCATCATATACTCAGTTCACCATACATATCTATTTCTTAAAGTTTTTTTAGTCTGTTATTTTTTCTCTCCTGCAGGTTTAATAATGCTCATTGGCTGGTTGCAAGGGAAATCTCTTCTCAGCATGTTCACAATTGGAGTTAGGTGAGAAAAGCACCTTTCCCTCTGTATTATAATGAAATATATCCCAGAGATTTCTCTGTTCAAAACAATGGCCATTTCCTCTCACAAAAGAGGAGATCCTTTAAAAACTTATATTGATCTTGCACTGGCAAAATTAATGTGAGTTTTATTATAGACTTCAGTAGAAAAAAAAATGGGAATTTATCTAATCTTGGGGAGATGTTAAATTCAGATCCTTTTTCATCATTACCTTTGAATGATGTGGTCTAAAAAAAAAATTCACGGCAATATCCACTTCATCTTGCTGTGAATGTCCTTAACTGTGAGCACTATGAATTTAGTGGGAGTGTAGCAACAGCAAATATTAGCCTTTGCTGTTCTTACTGCATATACGTATAAAGATTAGAATGTGCTTTTAAGGGCATAAGATGCATGCACAGCCCCTTAATCAAATATAATAAACCATGTGTTTTTCGTAGTATCAATAAAACCTGTTGTTTGGCATTGTCATAGCTCTAAAATAATTCACTTTTTTTTTAAAAAAAAAGAGCCAAATGAGCTCAGTGCTCACCTGCTTCTCACTTTTTGTCATTTTAAATAGGAATTTGAAGTCCAACTTTTGGAGAAAAGCCTCTGGGTTTCAAAGACTGTTTGATTACTTTCTGTGTCCCTCGAAGTGCTCAGAGTTACCCCTGGGATTGCCGAGGGACAGGGCAGACAGTGTCTGGATTTCTCCAGCACAGGATCTTTCCGCAGGTTTTAATGATGCTCCTGCTCCTCGCACAGCCAGCCGGGTTTGGGGAGCTTGATCCTTCTATCCACAGCTCCTACCCACACAGAGGAGAGGGAATGAGGGGCTAGGAACAGCTGGAGGCCAGGAGCCAACAAACAGGCAGCGATGCTGAGGAGCATTGAACTTCTATCCTCAGAAAGTTAAATGAAACGAAACCCAATTCCTAAATCCCTGCTTAGCCAGAAGTTAAAAGGAAGGCCAGGAGCCAACAAACAGGCAGCAATGCTGAGGAGCAGAAAGTTAAATAAATTAAACGAAACCCAACCCCTAAATCCCTGCTTAGCCAGAAGTTAATGCTCTTTGGAACGTAAAGAAGAAAAGGAATTGCTCTGCTGAAATCGCCCAGAGGAAGGTGGAAGGGCTGGATAAATATCCTGCTTTTTCATTTACACTGTGCCAAGAAATTTCAGTGCTTGGTGCTGCACGGGCGGTCGATGGCCTCCCAGAGCAGTGCAAATAAGCAGGGAAACGGGCTCCCCGTGTGACGTTTCAGTAGGTGTTTGCAGTGTGACCTGCCCGTTGAAGCCGGTGTCTCTCCGCTGTCCCCAGCCTGGCGGTGGCCGCCATCCCCGAGGGCCTCCCCATCGTGGTGACCGTGACGCTGGTGCTGGGCGTGCTCCGCATGGCCAAGAAGAGGGTCATCGTGAAGAAGCTGCCCATCGTGGAGACCTTGGGTGAGCCTGGAAGGGGCCGTGGAGCTTGGGCGTCTGCCTGGCTGCGTCAGAGCCTGAGCTGAAGAGCAACGGGCTGCCCAGGGGGGCCTCGGTTGGGTCAATAGCTGTGGATGTGCTTCCTGGGACAGAGAAACCCTCTTGGATTTAGATACATTTTCTGTCCTACATTTGTCTCCCTTTTCCTTTATTTTTCTGGATGGAGCTGATCTCCATTAGAGATGGTGCAGACAGAAAACACTTGGGACATTTCCTTTCTGCTGCAAGCCAGTTCCAGGCACGGGTCCATGTGGGGTGGATTTGCTTGGTCCCTCTTTCCTCACCACTCTGTGGCCAGTCCCACAGGCCCATCCTGAATCCATCTTTCACATCTGGCTAGAAGACCTTACAACCACCTGCTGCTCCGCAGTGTGTGGGATTATCCCCCAATGTCCAAAGAGAGATGGAAAATAGGGCTAGAGAAGACCTTAAGGAGACATCCAGCCCCTCCGTGCTGCCATGGGGCAGTTATAATGAAATTATTCCCGTGTCTCCCCTTACCTCCAGTTTGGCCCTTGTCCCCAGGTCCCCATGTTCAAGGCTCTGCTATCCTGACCTTTTTGCTCAGTATGGGAGTGACACCAAGACAAGACATGCTGTGTGCTTAGTACTAATTAGTTTCCTAATCAGAAAGTACAATTACATTCCAGGCCTGGCCCATGCAGTTTCAAATGTGCTGCAGAGCCTGATGCTTCAGCTAAGACTCATGTTCCTTGGAAGTGCTGCCATAGTTTGAACTGCCCTTGTTTGCTCTGCAGCAAAGGATTCCTACCACCCTCATTTTATTGCATCTGCCCTGAGCCAGCACATCTGTCTGCCTTATCTCCTTCAGAATTTCGTTTGAACAGGGCTCTGCCCAAAGACATCACAGCAAGGTGCCTGGTTCCTCTGTGAGACAGTCCATGGGTGGCAAAAGCTGTATTCCCCTGCCCAGTAATTGCACTAAGTCTGTTAGAAAGGAAGATAAATGATATCCTGCTTCTTTATCTGATTCCTTAATTGTAAATAATGAAAATGAAATATGAGAGGTGGTGGCTTTGCTCTGTGTTAATCCTCCAAAATGGCAATTCATTTAATCGCAGCTCACTCTGCTCTGTTCTCCCTGGCCTCTTACCTGGTGCTGCTCGTGCTGCCAGGGTCTGTGTCCCTCACCGGCAGAACCACGAGGGAAACTCAGAAGGGAGTTGGATTCTGATTCTCTTTAATGTCTTTTCCCCACTTTTGGGACTGGAAGCTAACCTTAATGTGGCCGCTGTGCTAATCCCCTATTTTGCTGTGCTATGGTGTAAATGGGCACCAGAGCAAATGTGAACTGGCTTCCAAACTGTTATGTGCTTTGCCGAAATGGTAGTGCCAAAACGCAGAGATTGAACGGGGCAACCACTGCTGTTTGCACTTTTTTGGTAAGTAGTTTTTGTGGCAGTCCTTAACCTGGGCTGTTATTTCAGATTTAGAGACAGGGAAGCAAGGGGTAAACGACTATTTGAGCAAGTCTGCAGCAGAGTGGGGATTTGATCACTCTTCTCAGTACATAGTAGCTGCTCTGCTGGTGTGCAGCATCGCAGCTCAGAAATGCTGGCCACGTCGCTGGAAATCAGGGTCCTCTCTGCCTGTCCATGATACAATGCCCAATACAACACAGCCTTCTCCAGCTGCCTCCCATCCCATCTCACATCCAAGTTTTGTGCACGATACCCTGAAGTGCAATCAATTCCTTTCCCCCTCATCTTTTTCGTAACAACCTCCTCTTAGGAAACCCCTCCACTTCTTGGTGTTTCTTTCCTTTTATGCCCATGCGCAGTTTAGGTAACATCAGAACAACATGTTCTCCCTCTTCTAAGACCTCAAATCTCCTTGTCTTTATGCAGCTGCATTATTTATTAGTTCTGATTAAAGCTTCCTTGCATCAGGTTGCTGCAATGTCATCTGCTCCGATAAGACGGGTACCCTGACAGCCAACGAGATGACAGTGACTCAGCTGGTGACCTCGGATGGATTCCAGGCAGAGGTATGGACCATGCAATTCCATGGACTTGGGATGCTTTGAGTTACCAAGCATGTTCCCCATATAAAGATGGAGTAGGATGGTCCTGCTTGATGCTGAGAACTTTGCTCTTTCTCCCCTTTCCTCAGGTTAGTGGGGTAGGCTATAATGGAGAAGGAAATGTTTATCTTTTGCCATCAAAGGAGATTCTCAAGGAATTTTCCAATGTCTCCGTTGGGAAATTAGTGGAGGTAAGTATAAATTGTGGACCAGCCTGTTTAGTTGCACGTGATTTTTAACTTTCACAGATGAAATTGGGTGAGGAGTGTGAAAAACATTACTTTCATAATTCTAAAATGAACTGCCTTGCTAGAGGATCCTTCTAGAAAGGATCTGAGTAATTCTTACAAGATACCTGGAGCTTGTTGGTAGAAGGAAGCATGAAGCATCCAGGGAGAGAGCAGAGCCTTCAGTTTAAGGTGTCTGTGAAGCTCCCTTCTTGGCTCCTCTCCTTTTGAC